CGTCAATGTATGTCCAAGGGTTTGGAGGATAAACACATTTTAATTTTTCGAGATTATAGAAAGTCAATTTTTGAAAAGTCAAATATCTCCCGATCTGTAGGAATCTGTGAGCTAAAACTTATGTCATTTTGAGGGAACGTATATGTCAACTTCATGTCACAGTCATGTCACTGTATGTCAAAGGGATTGTAGGATAGAGACATTTTAATTTTTCGAGATTATTCGAAAGTTAATTTTTGAAAAGGCAAATATCTCCCGATCTTTAGGAATCTGGGAGACAAAACTTATGTCACTTTGGGGGAACGTATATGTCAACTTCATGTCAGAGTCACGTCAATTTATGTAAAAGGGTTTGGAGGATAGAGACGTTTAAATTTTTCACGGGTATTCGAAAGTCATTTTTTCAAAGGCATATATCTCCCGATCTGTAGGAAACTGAGAGACAAAACTCATGTCAGTTTGAGGTAACATATATGTCATCGTCATGTCAAAGTCACGTCAATGTAAGTCCAAGGGTTTGCAGGATAGAGAACGTTTAATTTTTGAAGGTTATTCGAAAGTCAATTTTTCAAAGGCATGTATCTCCCGATCTGTAGGAATGTGAGAGACACATCTCATGTCAGATTGAGGTAACGTATATATCATCGTCATGTCAAAGTCACGTCAATTCATCACCGAATTAACCAAAGCCCTCCACCGGACCCTGTCCTGCGCCAGCAAATTCCAATCTCCTTCAACTCCTATCTCCCATAGATCACGCCTGAGATTATCCTTCCATCTACGTCTAGGTCTCCCCAGAGGTCTCTTCCCCTCAGGCTTCCCAAAAAAATACCCGGTGCAAACCTCTTGTCCCATCCATGCGCGCTACATGTCCCACCCATCTCATTCTTCTCGACTTAATCACCCTGACAATATTGGGGGAGGAGTACAGATTTTTAAGCTCATCAATATGCAGTTTTCTCCATATCCCATCGTATTTTCTCTTAGGTCCAAATATCCTCCTCAACATCCTATTCTCAAACACCTGTAATCTATGTTCCTCCCTCTGAGTGAGAGATCATGTTTTGCACCCATACAAAACAACAGGCAGAATTATTGTTTTGTATACTTTAATCTTCAGGTTGTCAGAAATCAGACGGGAAGACAAAATGTTTTGAACTAAACAGAGGTCTAACAGGATAATTGCAACTAAAATCTCTATATAGTTAACTGAAAGAGTGCAGATAAAAATGGGAAAGAAGAATGAGAAAATGTAAATTTAAATGATGTAATTGTAGTCATTTTCCAACCACCTTAGAGGTATCTCTCTATGAGCTAGGGTCAGACCTCGTCGGAGACTTAAGCTTATTCTTGTTGTCCTTATTGTTATTATTTTATAATTACAGACGCTGACCACACAAAGCAACAGCCTGCCTCGGCTCTTGCGCATGACCTTGTCAGTGATGCTGCGGGCAATGGGACTCAAGCCCTTTGTCAATGTCACCGCTGAAGAGTTGATCTTCGGCTATGATGACACTCTGGTTTCTCTGGCACACAAGTTCTTTCCCAAGCACAGGCGTCCCTTGTCACAGATGGGACTGTTGCTTGGAGTAAGTAATTTCCTGGCAGATGAGTATTATTTACGTAAAGAGTCATGTGATCGTCGTGTCCGTCTTGGGGATGCCGTCATCAAAATGATTTTGAAGAAATGTTGCAATGTGAACTCTTGGACTCAATTGGACTGGATTCAATGATTTTGGGACAGAATCAAAAATACTTATTTAAATTATTTTTGGAGACAATTGAGCAACGGCTTTGACAGAATCTTAATCAAGCCTATAAATTATCCATTTGGAGGCAGCTGGTAGGTGGTGGTTTTAATGGATCAGAATTTATTTTTATGTGTGAGAAAAAAAACAAATGAGAAAAATTTAGTCATTTTCTGATGAGTGATCATAAAGCATTGATTGTTATATTTCATCTACATCAAGTACATTCTAAGGTACACAAGCATAACCAAAAAAGTAAAAGTCTCAAGGTGTACCATGAAAATTTCATTGTAATTAATGGGTAGTACTTCCCAACATATCTATAGCTGCATTCTAGCGGCCTCTGATTCCGTTACTATAGTCGGCGCAGTAGTTTTTGGCCGGTGGAGAAGCTGGCGGACGGGCCTACTCTGTGTACCTGAGGTGGCACGGTCAGTGTATTTCTTTTGTTTGAGTGTTCAGTCCGATAATCCTCGGTGCAGTCAGCATTATACTATCGCACAAGAGACTCGCTCCCAGCCTTCCCCTTGAAAATTCCACCGGCCAAAAACTACTGCGCCGACTATAATACCGCGGCCCACTGTGCCTCCCCCCTCCCCTGCAACCACCCCTCAGCGCACACACACGACGCAAACCCTTTCGTCTTCTCTCACGCGAGCCAGAAGGCCTCTTTGAAATGTAAATATGGCCGTCTTTTCAGCTCATAATAACAGGAAACCTAAGTATTTGAAATTCACTTGTTGAAGTTTACTGAATTTCCTAAAGACGTAACAAAAGTCATACTTATATCGCTCAGCATAATCCTACAAATGTCTCATATCTCATTCTTGCAGAGAAATGGTACTCTAAATGAAGTTTCCACAATCTACACTGGCCATTCATCCATGGAAGAATTTGGTTATTTGGACAAGTTAAATGGTCTCGATCATCTCCCATATTGGCTAGACTCACCGTGTAACAAAATACGAGCATCAGAAGGATCTTTTTTCCCACCTCGTAAATATACCCATAGTGACGTCGTGCACGTGTATGACAAGGACCTCTGTAGAATATATCCACTTCACTTCAATGGTATGACGAGTAAGAATGGCATTGAGGCTGGTATATATCTGCCACCTGATGACATCTTTGACTTACCAGAGAAACAGCCAGATAATAAATGTTACTGCGGAGAGAATAATGAAACATGTCCTGCTAAAGGACTTCAGAATATTGCTCCATGTCAGTTCGGTAAGTGTCATCTTATTTCAGACGTTTTAAGTTGGGTGCCATGTATTTATTTGTTTATAATAAATTGTTAGCAAATGCTTTTCAATATGACGATCTTCACGTATTCTGATAAACATAGTAATGAATCAAGCTGGGATGGACAACGAAATAAAGAACAATTTTGGCTAAATTTTTTTACTGTATCCGTCGTCTGTTTTTCTCATAACACGACGTTCCGGGAACTGGATCTGTCTCCGTTATGAAGTGCGTGATATTCAATTAAAAGGCAAGCTATCGAAAATTACGAGTAATAGCTCAGCTTATTCTGCCGCTTTGGGTTCTAATTGAGCTACACATTGGCCAGGATCGAGCATCAACCCGTGAAACCTCAAGAATGATGCCCGACAGAATGTTTGGAAGAGAGCAACGCATGTTGTTTCCACTCTAGCAAGGTGGTTCTCACTACCAGCGACGTGGTGGACCTTACGTCCAACCTGTAGGAAGGAGTTACTTCCCCCACCCTTCCGTTCTCTCTGGCTGCGTGTTTTCATTGTCGGCCATGTTAGAGGGCTATGGTACAGAAATGCATACATCGTTTTCATCCGTGTCATGTTTTTCCGGTTTACAGAATGGTACGGAATTGTGCCGACTCCTCGAACTTACGATTCACCTTTAAAAACAGTTGAAGTGAAGAGATGTTTGTTTTCTGTATGCGTAATTAGACAAGGTCAGAGCTACAATAAAATTAAGAGTGACGTGAAGCTGAGTAAAAAATCTCGGGTACAGTGTAAAAAGACATACAGAAGAGTACGTTTGTATCTACATGATGGCGAATTAGGTTTGTGACGCGACAGCCATTAATCGAGGACGTAAACAGTTTTATTCGTAATAGTGTTAAATAAATCCATCTTTTGGTAAGAACCTACTGTTTACATGCTATTTATGTTACAGCTTGTTTATAGATGTACAGCAGCATTTAACTTAACTGGAAAATTACGTCTTTTTTATCTGTAGCCCTCGATCCTTTATACTATATAAAAGGAGTGTGAATTAAAAATATTAACCGTACTACATTAAATGTCAGGTTGCAAGAAGTTGCATGGCTTATTAAGTTATGATTTCCTCTGTTTCTATAAGATGTTAGGTAAACATGTACATGGTAGTTTCAGATTATGGATTATTATAGAATTTCATAGCGTTCCCTGGAAAAGCAACCAAATAAACATTTAAATATCAAACCGGCTTTCATAAAATGTAGATTTTTGTTCCATGTGTGTTGTAGATGTTATGGACATCTCAATTTTGACATACCTTAAAGCCTGCACTGCTTAATTCTGTTCCCTGATCAGACCTTCAACTCATCTCGATCTGTCCAGCAAACTTAGAGTTTGTTTGGATGCATAGTCAGCATTTGAATGGGAAATGTTACATCTGTCATCTTTACAGGAGCACCAGCTTACATCTCCTTCCCCCATTTCTACCAAGCTGATCCGGCCCTGCTAGACGCAGTAGAGGGACTGAAGCCAGAGAGAGAAAAACATCAGACATATTTCTTTATACAACCTGTAAGTCCTCTAAAGACTTAATTTTTTTATTTTTCTGCATGCTTATATATTATAATGCAGTAAGAATATTAATAATGTAGATATTCCTAGATCAAAATTTTGCCATCATTTTATTTTGAAGAGAATTAAAAAAAACTGTAAACCAGGGCATAAAACAATAACAAATTCTCACCTAACTAAGATTCGATAATATCACCATCTGTGCAAAAATCTGGCATGCCAACCTTGAGCCTTTTATGAGATAAATTGCATGTTATTATTAGGATATACATTTATTCCATTCAAACACAACATAAAGCACATTAAATTTTTAGCAGGAAAAACTGAATAATAGGAAAGTAGCCTTTGTTACTTCTGCTTGGTACTCTTTGTATAATCATTCACGGTGATAGTTTTTCTATTATATAATTTTTATTACATAATGCTGTTTTCAATGCTTCTTTTACCTTTCTACATCTAAGTGGCGTTCAAACATATCCCAGATGTACACTCTCTTAAACAGATTCAACAACTTAAATTTATGTTTAAAGACCTTAACTGCAAATGAATTTTGTGCGATAGATAATTCTTTTGAGGAAATTAAAATTATTTTATCACATTTTATTACAGAACTTGGGAGTCCCAGTGGAAGGCCAAGTACGAGTTCAGTTTAACCTGAAAGTGGAACAATCACCCAATATCCACTCAGTCGCCAAGTTTCCTGACATTGTCTTCCCAGTCATTTGGCTTCAAGAGGTAAATGTAATTTGTAAATAACATGAATTAAGTCCATCTTACTATCTGAAAAATATTAAATGTCTTATAGGCAGAAATTACTCTTCTCTCTCCATAAGAAACAATTTTATATAATTGCTTTTTCATTCCAATTTGCAGTCACTGTAATGAATTAATGGATAACTGTTACAATAAAAAATACTAGTTATATTGTTTTGTATTTAGTACGCTGCTTGTCTAGATGTAATTCTTTAATGTATGTATTTTATGCTTTTATACTTGAGTTTGTGACGTGTTCTATATCCACTATTTGATTTCTGGAACTTGTAAATAAATAAATAAAAATAAAATAAACTCTTCTTGGGCTACCAGCCACGTCAGGTGATTGAATGGAGAAAACGCCGTTTTGAGAACTATCTTTGTCCTCGTCCTCAGGGTGCTCAGTACTCAAAACGTTGGTGTTTTCTCCATTCAATCACCTGACATGGCTGGTAGCCCAAGAAGAATTCATTATACTCAGTTACCGTGAAAGCTTCAGATCATACATTACAGTAACTACTAAAAGAAACAATAACGGGCTGTCAGCCGCGTCAAGCGGTTAAAACACTTCAGTACCCTGAGGATGAGGACAGAGATGGACCTCGAAACGTTGGTCTTTTCATGTTTTAACCACTTGACGCGGCTGATAGCCCGAGAAGACTTTATTGTACATAGTTGCCGTGAAAGCTCAAGATCATACATTACTAAAAGATACTTTTATAATTTTTGAAATAAGTCATCTGTTTAGGCTAACTGCTGCTGGGTACAACTGTATAATCAGTTATACATTTTGCCCAGAGAAAATATCAGTAAATCTTATCATAAAACTTCACTGACATCGTAAAATTAAATTTGCAGGGGATTGCAGAACTCACACCCAGTATACGACATTGGATTTACCTGGCTACGACAGTGGCTGAAGTGGCAGCCCCCGTCTTTGGATATGGCTCTATTGTATTAGGAATTCTTATATTGGTTGGAGTATTCATCAAAGCCTACAAAAATGTTTTATTCATAAAGGAGACTTTGAAGAAAGGCAGAGAGACTATGCGAAGAGGAAGTAGTTTCATCATTAATGGACAGCACAGACTTCTGATCATTCGAGACTCTTACACGTTACTAAATGATGTAAACACTGAACCAGATCCATGTCCAGATGGTAATCAAGATCATGGAGTTTGAGATGTTCACTGGTAACCAGTGAGAATTTTATGACAATCTGGGTCAGAATCTGGATCCAGATCTGGTGATAGTCTGCTCTGACAGTCTGCTCTCCTCTGAGGCTGAGTGAAAATGCTTCACTGTGTACCAGAAGAGATGGATATTCAACCAAAGTATACTTGATTCCTTTTTTACAATATACTATACAGATTTAGAATTTTAAATATGTTGAAAGTGGCATAATATTAGTCACAAGAACTACCATTTTAAGTTCTGTACTGAAGAACAGAATGTATGCGACTGAGGTGTCACGTGTTTTTGCTCAATATTCATAACCATATCCTTAGCACATTCTGGAGCTGAATCATTCTAACCATTCAACTGAATCTACTAAGAAGCCAGTAGTTCTTTTCTAAAAATCTTAAACTGCTTGCCGTCCAAACAAACTTTGGAGCCTTCATGTTTCAAACCATTTCGCATCTATTCTACTGCTTACTGTTATTTTCTTAGTGCGATATAAAAGTTCACATTAGTATAAATTATACAGATATGAATTATGAATATCTCACTACATGTGCCAGAATTTATATTTTTTATATACCTAAAATAGTAGGTAACTTAGCTCTGTTTGTGTAGTCTCGTAAATGTATATGATATGGGCAATACAATCTGAATTACACATTATAGAGGTCCTAAGAACAGTATTTTTAAGACCCAAGGGAATGCAGTTATCCAAGGAAAAGACATGTCTTTCAAACAATCCTTAGCATTATCTCTGACCAGATCTGGTTAGAGAATTCTGTGCAGAGTTTCACTTCTAAAGTTTTGATTTTATCAATGCTGGAAGTATGAGGCCTCTTTCTGGTACAGTACACGTTAAACAGAAGGGCCCTTGTCACGATGTCTTTTGTAACAGACTCTGTCTCGTGGATCTTCAATAACTGAAGTGGATATGCCACAACCCCAAAATTCATAAAGATTGCCAAAGATGAGATACTAATGGGATGGAAATTGTACTCATCCCCTTTATAAATAAGTCCTGGTTCTTTTTGAAAGGATGAGTATGATTGTCAGTTAAGATGAATACCTTATCAGAAGACAGGTGTACAGAATTCTCCAAATCACATGAAAGAGCTCAGAACTGGTAGTGGGTACATTTAAACCCATGGTACAGTTTCTGTATAGTAGTTTTTATGAATAAATAAAAAATAATAGTTGTAATTAAACTACATTTTTGTATACAATAAAATAGGAATGGATAAAATTTTGTCTGTTTTATGAATAAATATAATTTTTAGTAAATTCTGTAAAGGTTTTGCACTACCCTTGCATGCTTGTATACTAGAAAAGTGTTATTTTAACAATGTAATGGTAATCACTCTGAATCTGATCATCTAAGCTGAAATGAAGGACTTAATTTTGTAGAAAATATAAGAATTCCTGGATACTAAGACACAACGATGGTAGAATTAGCTGGTAACTAGTGAAAAGCAGGACATTAAGAATTTATTTTTTGATGCATATTCTGTACCTTGTACTTGTACTTAAGGTTGGTTGTCTTAATCTTATGTGAGTGAAATCATGATCCGAGTTCAGGCTCAGCTGACTGTTTTGCTACAGACACAGGAATCTGATGTGGCATATACATATTCAAATGTACTATATTCCTCAGTAGTTTCCTGATTAAAAAATCCTGGATGCACTTCCGTACTGGTTTTATATATGCATTCTATAAGATGCATATGCTTGAAGGTATTATATAAATTGCATGTCAGTCTCCATTATATCTAGTAAAGAAACTTTGTTTTGAAATAATGATAAAATCCATCTGTAGATTGCTGAGTCTCAGCAGCTACACCAGAACTGCTTTAACTATTCCTGATACAGACTTTGCTTACACTCAAATATTCTTTCTGCCTTAATGCGCTTACAGGAATCTTGTGACACTACACCAATTAATAAGTATTTTTATTTCTTTCAAACGATTATTTCCATTGGAATTATTCACACCAGAGCCTATCAGTAAAATAAATTAATGTATATATCTGCATTCAGACTAGTTCTGGGGTCCACCCAGCCTCCTATCCAATGGGTACCAGAGTCCTTTTCCAGGGGTAAAGTACGGCTGAAGCGTGATGCTGACTGCTCACCCCCATCTAGTACTGAGGTCAGGAATCTCTCCACCCAAGCGCCTACATGGCATACAGTGGGACGGCTTTTATCACTTTTACTTTATATATATCTGTGTGTGTGTTAATATTAATTTACGCTTTGATTTTATTTGTATTTACATCATCTTTTCTCCCTGTTTACATTGTTGCAGATAGTATATCCAAATACAAGCTTGTGAATATATGTTGTACACACAGCATAAAAACAAAAAGAGCTCATAATTACAGCCATTTGAAACAACATAAAATGAAAAGGGAATAATACATAAACATACAACTTTTATAACAATATTATTTCCCTATATTATACCAAATTATTAGTACTGTCATGTATGAGGCATGACAATATGAAGATACCACTGGTTCTGGAAAAAAATTAATTTGCACTAAATGTTAGTGAGGATGGTCATTTTCAATGTATTGACATTCTTACTTTGTTCATGCCTTGTTTGAACTTTTTCAATTACCGTTACAAATCAGGCATTAAGGTTCAAAATTGATGTACCACTTGGGGGTAAGTGTCAAAACATAATCAGAGCCTTGTAAGCATGCTAACAACGTTTCATGCAGAGATAAATAGTGGATAAAGAGATATGCAAGATTTTCGAAATGTGTGTGAATTTTATGCAGCGCGAATGTAATACCAGACCATTAAAAAACGCGGTCCTACATGCTGAGGCAAGAGCATGATGACGGCAGAGAGTTGAGTTAGATGGTGGATCACATACCAACCAGTTTATTCAATAACAGAAATGTGCTACAGAGCACTGTTTTTTTTAAACACAGGCCTTAACGCTGGTGATGGAGGAAGTAATTCCCTCTAACACATTGGTTAACACCTACCACAATTAAGCAATTGTCGGAATGTTATTTCCCTAATACCAACATTAACATTGGCACAGTCATTATAATGTCAGCTATTTCTAAGATGGTAGTTTTCTGGTATATAGCGCCGTTCAGTCTGATAAAATTTACCAACGTTTCAGAGGCTCAACCCACAATCCGAAATCCTATCGAATTATTTTTCTTGTGATTTTTCTCATATTTCTCTCTTCATATTTGTCGTAGTTAGAACTTTAAATCTCACCGATGTTGACTGTCCAACAAAATTTCTTCCTGACTTATAATAGTTTTTAAAAACACAAAACTGACATGGAAGTTTATTAAATGCATAAGGGTGTTTAAAATATGAATTAATTTAATGTGAACTACTATTAATTGATGTATAAACATCCTGAGAATCCCTCAATACATGACGATAACTTATTTAATGATAATGTAATGTCGATAGGGAATTACATTTGTCGTTGGTTACACTGATTGTAGCATAAAAACTCAAACGTACCAAAGAGTGAGGGCTCATGGAACGAAAAGTGATTAATAATTGCCTTGTTATTCTGTTGCGTTGGGCTGGTGTAAAATTTGTGTTATTTGCCATTTTGTCATATGTCATAATCATGTAAGTTAGTGTGGAAAGATATTTTATCTGGATAAACCTTTCCTATCACTCATGGCTGTTAGAAATCGTGCTAAAATTTATTACAACAAGAAGTAGGTAAGTAAATGAAGGTGGTAAAGGCTGTGGCTTTCGCATGTGAACCGCTATTTCTTGACGTGGCTAACGAACAGAGTGGAAGTCTAGGCAAATAATTTCTATCTTTTCTGACAGTAGTTTGTGTTTCTTAGTTCATAGTATCGTCCTAGCATTCTATTTTCTCCCCACAGGAGATTGGAGATATAATTTTCAACTCGTCCGATGAATCGTTTATCATGTACAAGTGTGCCAAAGTCGAACTGAGTGGTGGATTTACAAAACTATCTCCAGAAATGAAGTGGGCCCAGAGATTAATATTGTGTCCATTGTAAAGTTCTTATAAAAGTAACAAGTATATACAAGATATGCTATGTTGGATATTTTTCATACTCTAAGGAAGTGATAATGTCATATATGCCTCCACCTGAATCTGGAAGCAGAGTTGAGAATATAAAGAAGAAGTTTGAAGTTACTAATAATGACTTCACAGCATCAATCACCAACAACTCACGTTTTACCAAAACTCCAGTGAACAAAAATATAGTGGGAATTAGAGCACAGTCCAGTAATGGAGTTAAAAGTAATATTTTTCCAAGAAAAAAGATTTTGAACATAGAAGCCTCAAGTCCCATTGACACTCCAAAGAAATCTCCAAACCCATCACCGTCCATAAGAACTCCACTAAGTGTTCCAGTCAAGGCTGAGAGGCAGCTGAGTAATTCATGTGGAAGAGGTCATATTCGCCGTAGCCCCGCATTCCGCTGTGACAAAATTGTAAGGGGACGAAATGTGACAAGACAGACGAGTGGTATCCATGATAAAACTCGATCAGTTGTGGATAACAGGGTTAAACTATTTGAGGATGGGCAGAATGTGATGTCAGTTGTAAAAAAATTTAATACACCACCTCTTGCCTCATCTGATTCTGCAGATGTTGCCAAAAAGTCCTTAGGATCACAGTTTCAGAAACAGTTAGCTCTTGAATGTGTTGATGCAGCTGAAAAAGTAAGGACTGTAATGAACTCAGGGAACATTGTGTCTTCCATTTATGTAGCACGTAATCCTCATGTAAATAATCCAAGTACATGTACAGACTTTAGTGATAAAACAATCTTAAGCAATAGGACTGGTCTTAAAAAATCTGAAGCAGTGCCTCAGCAGAACAAAAAATTGCCTAAACCTGGTGCGGCATCCTTTCTTCATAAGTATGAACATCACAAGGAAAAACTTCCACCTGGAAACAAACAATTTAATTCTGCCGAAAGTAAAGAAGTCAAGTTAACAGCTCTTCCTAATAGAAATGAAGAGAATAATTGTAAAGTTACTAATGACATTAAGAGTGAAAATGGACAAGAATCACAAGAAATGTTGCAGAATGAAGCAACTTCTAGTGGCATTACCCTTACAGATACTTTGAAGGCTGCATTAAAGGCACCTTTACCTTCAGGCCCTCCACCAAAGAAACCACCGAGAACATTTGCTCATAATACATCATCTCCAGATAGTGCAGGTGAAAATACCTTCATGCCAAGTGCCACTACCACTAGTGCCATTGAGGAAGTGTCAAACTTGTCTCAACATATAAACATAACAAAAAATGCATCAGAGAAAGAAAATGTTGAGAAAATTGTAAAACCAGTACGATCAAAGACAGAATCACAGATTATGCTGAAGAAGTTAGAAAATGTGTTATTAAGACATGGGCAAGGCACTGGGAGAGTTGTCTTGAGGCCAAAAAGTCCTGTGGTTAGGAAAAACATTGAGAATAAAGCTACTGTAACGTACAGTGAACCAGATTTAAACACTGGAAGGTCAGTAGGAAGATTACGTCCTCTCCCAAGTTTGCCATTGGAGAGTGAACTACCCATCTCCCGTGACACTTGCGCTGGTGGTGATATTGTAAGATTTGGTGGCTGCCTGAACTTCAGTTGTGTTTCTGCTGATTCAAATAATCCACTGTATTCCCAAATTCACTTGTATGAGAAAGTACCTGAGAAGCAGTCAGAATTTTTTGTAGAGTCTCCTAAAATCTGTTCACCATCAAAAAGTCTATCTAAACCATATGGCACATTGCTGCATTGTAGGTCACGCAGTGAAGAACATATATATGCGGAACCTTTTGATTACTTTAATAGGGTTCAAAATCACAGACATAATCTGCAAGATTGGAAGACCTCAAAGATTATTATGACAAATGGAGAAAGTGTTGGTGATTTGTCTAAAACTGGAGAATCCGTTGAATTTCAGAATCATTTGTCACCTTTTCATCCAGAAATCATCATATCCAAAACAGGCACACTTCATTATTTGGTAAGTGAGAAATAATTTTGTTGGTACTGTGAATTTTGCAGTGTAGGGTGTGGCATCACTGTTTTACATTGCATCCATTTTTTGTACCTAATCCCAGTGCACACCATTACATTCCAATGGAACAGCAGGAGTTGTTGAGAAGAGTCTCAAGGCTAGAAATAATGAATCTATAAAGACTGAACCCATAGTTACAACAATTGCAGAAAGACAAGCCAGTAATTCACATCAGAATTTAGACACTGAATCTGGCAGCAATGATCTGAAGAAACTTCCACTCTTAAGATTGGCTGCATTGATGAAGGGTGGTCATACGAGTGGTTTCATAGATGTACCAAATAAAGTGGATAGGGCAAAGGTGAGTTTGTTCCAGAAGATATATTGTCTTCACCTGTTTGTCCTGTAAAATGGCTTTTGTGGAATGATGGATTTCTGTAAACAAGATATGCCAGGCGTTGGATCAAGAATGCTTTACGTTTTGGATGTTGATTATTGTGGCTGTAGTGAACTTGAGAGGGTCTGTTGTTGCATGTTTTGTACTTAATGCACTGTGTTGTTGGAATATAATGCATTGCATGCTTCATGCAAATTTGTGTAATTTCTTTCTCTTTCTTAGTACATAATTAAAGTTTGGTGCAAGTATTTTTTAAATCATTGAAAGTATGTGAAAAATTATTTAAACTATTTTTAGTCCTTATAATTGAATATAACTTGGTGCCATAGTTAAACATCTTGTCTGACAAGAGTTGTGGTTCAAAATTTAGGGGTATAATGTTTAAATACTCACTATATTCATGCATGTACATAGATTCCAGTAAATATTTTTTTTGTTAATGTTGTATGGCAGGAGATTCAAGTTTTTGTTTAGAAACTAGGGGATCAGACATCTAAGAAGGGCAAATTAGAGGTGGAAAGCTAATATTAAAATTTATTAGAAATGAATTGATTGTGAAGAGGGAACTGGAATGAATTGGCTCAGAACATGTTCATGTTGAATCTTCAGGTGGGATAATTGAATTCATTGACAGGCTGAATGACTGTCAACTGTTCAAGAAAGAAAGCAATATTATTCTATGCTGTTGATAATAATGTATTGAGTAGAAACATAAATACCATAAGATAAAACACAGGCTCTTTTAAATATTAGTAACTAGGATGGTATAGAAGTAAGCTCAGAGAAAACTTTATATGTTTGTCTCATCACCAGAATTCAGGGCAAAACCATAATATAAAGAAAGCTAATAAGTGTTTAGAAAATGGGACTTTTAAAATGTTTGAGATAACAGATAAAATAGCATTCATGAAGAAAATGAGAGTAAATTAAATTTGGGGGAATACTTGCTATCATTTAGTTCAGAATCTGCCTTTCTATGTCCTATGTAAAAATGTAGACTAAAACCTACAAAACAAAAATTGTATGCATTTGTGAGTAGTGAGTGACAGCCCACTGACTCTGCTCAATTTTTACTCAATCCTGATTTGACTGACAGAGCCATCTAGCATGAATCAGGAGACTAGGGTGAGAAATGGCCACTGAATTTTGCTTGCAAAATATCTCGTTCATGCTTGTAAGGTTCTTTTACATGCCGTAAATCTACAACATGGGACTGCCAGCTTTACTCCTTCTCTGAAGGAAGTTGTGCTATGGATTTTTATCACCCTTAAAAATCCATCGACGTCGGCCAGGTTTGAAACTGCGAACCTTGGGTCCAGTGGCGAGCATGCTAACCACTAGTCCACTCTTATACTTTGGATAAATAGTGCCCTGTTTGTAGAATTTTAAGCAAAAATTGCATAGTGTAAAATTATACACTGCATGTTTTTGTTTGTGTATAGCTGTGCATGAAATTACAAACCAAAAAGAATCCTTGCCATTGAATATATGACAGTATTACTTTGGCATTCCTCTTGTGCGTGTTAGCAAGAGGAAGTGCATGTGATAAACATATCACTTCCAGACATACCAGCTTGTCAAAACTATTTATCAGACTATTTAAAAGACTGTTGCGTGGCTACAGTCTGGAATTGGTTAAAGGTTTGATCCCTGTTACCAACAATTCATCTGAAGAGTAGGAAGAAAATACTTAAATAAAGTACTTTGTTTTGTTTCTTACTTTATGTATCTTTATTCTTATTTGACTTCATCTTCCTCATCAACTTCATGGGTTATGCAACGACAAAGCACAGGGTGATATATTGGGAAGGACATTGAAGGAATCTTGTGAATTATTTTGAGATACTATCCCAGAATTTACTCGCAGAGAGTGAAATAAGTTAGGAAAAGGTATGGGTAGATGGTGTAGAAAAACAAATTAATCCAGGATTTCTTGATCATGAAGCAAGAGTACCAACATTTGCTTTTCATTATTTTATGTAAAAAGATTATTGTATCATCTTGCCTGTGTGTTTGCCTTGTCCTCCATCCATATAATGTTACCAGATGGTGGGTTTCTGAGATGTTGCACAGTGTAGTATTATAGATGTTACCAGTGTTTCAGAGGAACATATTGCAACCATCTTCAGGGTTGAAGTAACTTTTTTAACAGTTGACTACTTTGTGTGATGTTTTATGTAAACATATTCCCGGAGGAAGTGAGGAAAACATGAAATTTCTCAATGAGGGTAGCTGGGCTTATTTGTATATATAAAAATGTATCTCACAGTGTCTTGACATTGCCTTCCAATCCCCATATTTCTTCTCCATTTCTCACTGTTGTTGGCTTGTTTCTCTATATACACTATATACATCAGCACTGGCACTTGGTGAATTAGTAAATTTAGTGTAGGTGTTTAAAATGACCACCATTAACTTCATGCCACTGTTGATAATGAGTGACAAACAGCCATCAAAGTTGCCGTGAGTTGGAGATCGATAACAAGGTTAAACAATCCATAGATATTATACGAAGACAAGAAAGCCTTTATGAACATTGGAATTTATCAGAAGAATAAAAGTAGTGTGTAATTAAAGTATCTTTTTAATGCTAATTTAAATTGTGCCTTTTTATTTGGGCTTGAGAGACTAGATAGTAAACTTAAAAATTTTATGCGAGCATAATATGCACTCTTCTGAAAACTTACGATGTTGGAAATTGGTTTGTGAAGCAGATTCTTATTCCTTGTGTTGACACTGTGTATAGCAGAATTAATTAAAATGTGCTTGGTTATTGTGTGTTCTTGCATGAATTGCATTGGGAGAATGCATTAATGGGCTGGTTGTGGCTGTCTGCTTGATTCAACTTGAAAACCGCTAGATTGATTAAGATTAAATTTGGCATGGATGCTGTGCCATTGGAGACTACCTTTTCAGTATATTACAGTCTTTGATAACAAAGTGGAAGATGAGGAAACTTTAGATTGTTGATATATGTTATGATAAAATTGAATCTGTTAATTTTGGAATTAAAAAAAATTAACAGTTTGACATTGTAGGTGTTTTCAATACTTTAAAATTGTACAAAATTCTGATTTTTAAGGAATTTGAAGTTTTTAATATTTGAAGTAATAAAAAAATTGTCATTGAGAAAGTCTGAGAATATGGTTATTTTATTTCAAGCTAGGTTATGTGGGGTCAGGTTAGGTTAGTTAACATAGGACAATAGATCAGACCCGGGTATGTAAGGGGGTTATGTAAATTGTACATAAAATGTTCCAATATTGTTGGTTGCAGGTTCAACTACTTATGAATCAGGCATTCGGTTCTCCATTACAAGGCCTACCAGCAAGTCCATTGGATCTGGCTGACTGTGATTTGGACTCCATGGCTTCAGTTCCTGATGAAGGAGGATCTGCTTCAATATTCCAAAGACTAGAAGTTGAATCAGAAGAACATTTATCTGATGCTAGTAAAGGTAAATAATTCAATTCAGTTTTTTATTATTAGTGTGCTTTATCAACAGCCAGAAGGCCAATTACAGATACAGCACAAGAGATGAGCACACGAACACAATAATAAGTATAGAAAGGTAAAACAAGCAATATATAAAATAAATTGATACAAAAAAACACAAAAAATTACTACTAACTATATTAGGATATTTGTAAAAATAACATGAATCAATTAAATAAATTATACTATTATAAAAAGTGAAGAAGTGTAACAATTTTCGTCTCGAATATGTCCAAGTCCCTGCACACAACATTAGCAGCTGATGCGCATCTAGCAGAAGGACTGTTTTTAATCGAAGGGCTAAAACTGAACATAGAAAAATCTCTCAGATTCCGAGCAGGGATGCGGAGAATGACAGCTTCCAGAAGGGAAGGACAGTACTTAAAACCACAGTAAACCTGTGTAAGGAACAGTGCATCACTGCAATATGCATGGTCTGGAGTTTTAAATACTCTAAATCATTAGCATAGCTCTAATGCACATGGGGGAGGAAACGATTATAACAAACTTCTGCTGGATATGTTCCAGTCTGTTGGCATCAGTAATCGTAATAGAATTCCAAATGACCGAGGCGTAACTTTCATATGTGGATTGTAGTCTTCCAGTTTGTGTGGCACCACATAGTCTTGTAGCTGGTTACCAATGTTTCAGAATAACATAATCACCTTCATCTTGAGATTAGCATCACAACCAAGGAAATGACAATACACTTTTTCATTGACATGATCAGATCTCATTCTTATGAATGTTCTATGAAATATGTTTTGTATGTGTTTACAAATGCAGACTGGTTCAAACATTGTGACTGTTGCAGGTGGATTGACTGCTGCCAGATGTTTGGACCCAACAGTGAATGGTGAGGACAGTAGTTCCACCAATTCTGC